AAACGGAGATCTGATGAACATTATCAACAAATCAGCTCTTTATTCCTTCAAGGACGGTATTGGGCAGCTGACGGACGCACTTGTCAAAGACTTGAGAAACAGGTCGAATGTGGAACTCAAGGCTGGCAGTCGCGTGAGTGAATTGAAATTTGGAGACGCAAATGAGGTCGAGGTACGAAAATTTTGTTGGCCATTAATTTGACAGAAATATATTGCAAGACTTTCTTAATATATCACCCATTCGGTCCGTTTGTCATGCTATCCCTCCCTCAGATAACAACAAGCAGCGGAAAATTCAAAGGAGATCACGTTATAAGCACCATTCCGACATATGAACTGGCCAAGCTACTTCCAACGCTACCACATCTCGAATACAATCCCTTTGTCACAGTTGGTGTTGTCAATGTTGCATATGCGCAACGAAACTTGTTGCCTATCAGGGGATTTGGTTTTTTGGTCCCACAGGCCACTCCAAATAACCATTATCATGTTCTTGGTATTATCTTTGATTCAGATGCAATGCCTTCCCAAGATCACCCCAATGATAATTATACAAAAGTAACTGTTATGCTTGGAGGACATTATTATGATTCACTTGAAGAAGAAGAGTTTCCTAATGAAGAAGAGTTATTGTGTCAAGCACTTCAAACAATAGAAAATACACTGGGAATTTATGCAACCCCGGCAGAATATGTGGCGAAATTGCAACGAAAATGTATTCCACAATATTATGTCAACCATCATTCAAGACTCAAAGAATTGCACAATGCGATCAAGGAAAATTTCAAGAATAAATTGAGTGTTTGTGGATCGAGTTACTGGGGGGTTAGCATCAACGACTGTGCCGTTAACTCTGCAAGATTGGCTTTAAATTTACTTGAAGACAAGCCGCCAGGGGTAGTTGTCACCGGCTTAGAAAGAGTGGAAAAGGCGTAGAATGTCGATCTGAAAACTAGTGAACCAAGAATAAAAGATGAACTGTGAACAACCTCTTTGATGCAGGCACCGTATCTTTGTATATACAATATACAATAATCACGGTTTTGAATATTCGATGGTTTCATCTATACAAAAATATAACTTTTCAAGTGCCGATTGCAAAGTTCGATCTCAAACCCGACCCGTTCGTTCAGCTAGTGCATAATATTAGACTTGCCATTAATAGAAAAAGAATGTTATATCAAACAATGTCAACTGTTTTCATCAAAGAGACATTTTTGGTTTTACTGGAATTGTGTATGTGACTTGCTACATGGAAATACTACATCATTCGATCCAGAGCAGACGAATTGTCATGTCCCGAGTATTGCATAGGTTACAAGTCAATTAAAATTGTTTTAAAATAAATCTAAACAGGACATTGCCCTGAATTTGCGGGATTTGTAAGGAGGGGCCCGACATCACCTAATCAATAATTAAGCTTAATATTTTTAACTTTTAAAATATTAATCTGTAATAGTTAAATAAATCAAATATTTAATTATTAATTTTCTAAAAGTAATATTAAATTGATCTATTATCAAAATTAAATTAAAGTATCTTTTTTAATTCTGTTTTTTACTATATAAATCAATAATTAAAAAATGAAATGTCAAACTTATATTTAGTAAAAATAGAAACGTAAAAACTTGTTTTAAATATATTTTGTAAAATGGAAAAAATAATTTAAATAATTAGCTTATTGAATAATATCAATTGTTTATTATTTTATTAGTTTAAGTAAAATATTAATTCATAATAAAATTGGTTATAAATATAAATCATATTTTAAATTTAGTCATAGTTATTTATTTCTTTAAATTGTTATATTAAACTAATTTATTATAATAAATATTAATTTTTATTATTTTATTGATTTACAGTATACTTTTTCTAGTAATTTTTTGATCTTACTCAAAAATAGTATTTAGTAAAAACTATTTGTTTTTGTTTTATTAAAGCCACAGTATATAAAATACTATAAATATACTTCTATCTTCTTATATTTCTCTTCTACCTTTCTTTATTTACTCTCAAATATTTTTGATAACAATAGTGAAAGAATAAATACTTTTTACTATCTAGACTTCCAATAATAAGAAAAGTCCTTTAGAAAGGAAATATACTGTATGTGTAAAGACTTCTTTTCAGTTTTTTATATTAAGTAGAAAATTCTATAAAGTTTTGCTATAGATCTTATCTCCTAAAAAATTTGAAGAAATTTAAACAATTCATTAAAGTATATATAAATTTTTAAGCATTTTCTAGAAAATTTTATCTATTTCTAGCTTATTTCAATTTTTTAATTATACTAGAATTTTTAAAATTTTATTGATTGAAGATTTCAGTTAAATAATAATATATATATATATATATGATAAATAATCTAAAATAATATAAATTTATTATTTCAGATCTATAAAAACTTGAGATCTATAATAAACTATTTAATATTAGATACAAATAAATACAATTTACTCTTCTCATAATAAAACACACTATTGTATCTTTTTTATTATATAATTATTTCAAGAAAAAGTTTTTCTAAAATACTAAGATATACTCTATTCAATTAACTCAATTTTTAAAACATAATATAAGACACTTATTTTTGAAAAATCCTTATATAAAAAATATATTTTTAATAATATAATAAATATATTTATTTAAAAATTTATTTTTCTGATTTTTTGATAATATATAAAAAAGATATTTGTAAAAAGTTTTATACTTTTATACCAATAAATTTTTATCTTTTTCTTAAAAAAACTTGAAAAATAACTTCAAAAGTTCCTTTTATTCTTCATATCTTGTTTATATTTTTTTTCAAATATAAATTTGATTTTTTGATAATCAAAAAATATCTTTCTATCTATAGCAAGAAAGTTTTAAAATAGTTTCCAATTCTTTATCTGTGCTTGCTTGAGTCAGATAATTGTTGTAATTCCTATGGAACCAGGATCATTTAATCTATTACATAATCCTATTATTTGACTTTCTCGCTGTAGCATCCAGATGCTTTTCAGGTTGTGAATCTTTGGATACTGTATTACACTATTTGGTATAGATCTACATAGGGTACTCTTGTTTTTGAAGAGCTTTCTATATGCTGCTGTTAGAGTATTACATATTTTCCAGGGTAGTATACTA